AGTATATATCTGTGAAAACAACAGCAGCAACATAGGCAAACAACGTTTTGATACAAGGGAAGTATCCAATGTCAGTCTAACTCCTCTTCATCTCAACGGGCCCATTCCAAGCCTAGTCAACGAGGACACAGTCCTAGGTTTCCTAAAATAGAATTGACTACTGCTCAACAATTCCTTGTTGGTTTTTTAGAAGAAGTTTATGTTCCACCTTTCTTGCAAGGTAGTATATGAAAAAGTCTTCTCCTCTGATTGTATCTCAAAACAACCCTGTGAGGTAGGTCAGACTGACAGACAGCAGACGGCCCAAGATCACCTGCTACGCTGCAGGTGTAAGGGAGGGCTTGAACCCACGCCTGCCCCAGGCCTAGGCTAACACTCTACCGTTAAAGCACCACACTTTCTCCACTGGATACTCGATGCATTGAGTGCTTTGCTCCTTCAACGCATAGTAAGCCATCCTTTTCCTTCGGGCAAGAATCCGGCTTGGTGCTTCTACAACAGCACAAAAGTGGAGGGCAATCTTTGGAAATCAGGCTTCATTCCATAATGTATACCACCACCCTGATTTTGTATCGATCATCCTTGGAGTGCCGAATTTTGCTACAGAATCTGGAAACCTCACTCTGTCTGTATGTTAAATAAAACTAAATATGGGGGTGAGCATGTTCTGTGCAGAAGTGGAATAACCAGTGATGGCATTTTAGTCAGAATATTCTGTTTCTTGAGGATTTCTGGTGTTTGTCTTGTTCTCATTTGGTTTGTTTTCAAATCAAGTTTCTAGCCCTTATAGTTGAAGTATACTCTTAAACATAGATATTGGGGAGCTCCTTCCACCTCGCCTTGGCTGACTTCAAGCTTTTTAAAAAACTCATCCTCACCACTCCTTCATTTTACCCCGGAACATTATTGTGGCAGGGGCAAAACCCTATATTCTGTAGACCTTCTTGCTTCAAGAGTTCTCACTTAGGCAGAGAGGCTTTTGATCCCTCCAAATCCAAGTTTTCCTGGAGGCAGTTGTTCAAAGCAATCCCTTAGAAAACCACATCACCGTTGCTTTGCTAAGGGGGCTTCTTTGAAGAGTTCTGTGGGGGGAAGCCTCTGCCCTGGGGGGACACACCCCACCAAGTGAGGAGTGTTGTAGATAACCAGCTTGAATTTTTTTTAAAATCCTGATTAGGGAAGGACACATCCATTTAATCTGGGTCAGTGTCACTTTTGCATGTTTATCATAATTCATGTCATTTTCTTTCCTCGTTAGTTTGCAGCTTTTATTTAGGAAATATTCTCAGAACAAGTATTTTAATTGCACTTCACAATGGATTTAAATGCATACAACTTTCCCAAACCATATAGTTAAATCTGCACTTTGAGAAGCATTCCACAAGTACAACTTTGGAGACCTTGAAGAGATGCGGATCAGGTCCTTTCTTATCCCACTTCAAAGAGCTGCAGAGGCCCAAAAAACACATATGTATTCACCGCCCTTTCCAAAGACAAGATGACATATACCAGGGATAGCTGCAAATTTTAATTCATCTACAGTAGCCAGATCACCTTGAGTAACTCCTGAATGAGGTTCTACACCCCATTAAGTCCCTTCTCTTCCTGGGACCTCCATCTCGCTTGCCTTCTCTTCCTGAGGATACTCTCTCTCAGGGCTCGGGAGCAGGCAGTATTCCATCTGCAGTGAGAAGAAACTTAATTATTTCCCTCTCTGTGTTTCTCCCCATAATTGGTGTCTTTCATGTCAAGATGATCTCAATTTGCACTATGGGCTCTGCGTGTCTCTGCTCTATAAAAGAATTGTCAAGTGCAGAAATCATAGTGTACATTAAATTACAATCAGCCTTTACTTATTAATTTCAACAGATTATTTTCCTTGTTTTTTTCTTCCTTTCACTGTGAAGCGTCCCTCCTCCATCCTTCTCCATCTCCAAACCCTTATCCTCGCAGCCTTTCTTCCCACGCAGGAGGGGAGATTGTTCTCCGGGGGTCTCTGCATCTGTCCGCTGAGCTCTTCTGCCCCACTGCATTCTCAATGAGGGCAATTCTGTCATTTCCCAGCAACGAGGGACCCCAGGGTGCCCAGCTGGGGTCTGGTGAAGGGGAGACTTGGGCAAAGGAGATGCAGAAGAGGAAGGCAAAGAGGAGAGGTCAAGTGGTCTGATGTTCTCAAGGGGGGGGGGTCCCTTCTTTGCTCTACTGAGCAGGAGAACCTACCTTACAAACATAGAAACAGAGCGAGTCAAAAGGGGCCTCCCAGGCCATCTAGCCTGACCCCCAGCTCCAGCCGGCTCCGCTCACGACATGCCCACCATGGGCACGTCCAGCCTATCCTTGGACACCCGCACCGATGGGGACTTGGAAGCTTTTCTGGCATTCTGGGAGCATCGCATGAGCTGCCTTTGCCCAGTGGTACAAAAAGGATTCCTTAGAGGGAGCTGCCGGTCTACCTATATTTCCATCTTTATCCCTCAAGCCTCAGAAATGCTTGCTCTCAGACACACACACAAACACACAACCATATTGCAAGGTGCCCAATTGTATCTCCCGTCCTTTCCCCCAAGACGTTTAGTGCAGCGCACGGAACCCTTCCCTCCTATCCATTTATCCTGCTGAGAACTCTTGAGGCGAATCACTGGCACCAAGGAGTCAGTGAGGTCTGTAGCTCCCTGGAGATTCGGCCCCAGGTTGCCCTTGCCCTGGTCCATCCGCTCTCTGGATGGGATGACGTCACTGGTCCATCTATTCATTCTGAGGGTGAAAGATCCCCTAGCAAAGGCCCACGTCCTTCCAACTGCCGATGATTACGACAAGATTGCACGCATGTTCTCACTGCGCAGCACTATCTCAGTCCCCTCGTCCTGGAGGCAGCCCAAGAGGTCTCAAAAGCAGATGTGTCCTCCGGGAGGTCAGCTCAGGTTGGACATCGTCTTTGTCAGTAGCACTATATCCCTGCCACAGAGAAGTCGCGTAGGTGTTTCTTGGCTGGGTGATGCCCCTCCATGATCCGGGGAGAAAGCTTCGGCTGCACGTCACACAGTGACTAATTGTACTGCAGAGCTGTCAACTAGCTGCCGCTGCACTTCAAAAATCACAGGTCACCCCTTCAGCCTCATGGCCTCCCGTTGCAGATTCCCCAGAATGCGATCATTCTTGGTCTTTGTCAGACACTAAGGTTAGGGTCATCCCTTTCCTTCTGTTCATTATCTTTAGCGGTTGTAGCATTTTGAAAGCATTTCTTAACCACTATCTAGATTTATTCTAATTGCTCCGCAAACATATTTAGCATTTAGAAGCTATCAAAGTGGCGGACAAGTAGGTTAACATGATGGAGGACTGAGCAGCTCTCGCCAGCTTCATGTCTCAAGAGGGAAAACGTGCTTCGTCGTAATGTGACTGTTGTTCTAATCACATTTGCATTAAACACTGCAAGAGCCTTGACTTGCAGCTCAAGATGGCTCCGTCGGCAGCTCCCTGGTTTCAGATGTTCCGGAAAAATGGGGAGTTGCCAGTGGCGCTGCCTTTGACGTGGCAAAGTAGGGCTGGTTCACCCAGGAGTGGATGATCTTCTCCTGAAAGCTCCAGTGTCAAGTCATGGCTGAACCTTCCCAGATAAAAACATACAGATTAACTTTTCTCTGTCCTCAAGTTAGGGGTGGCAGAGAATTTGCTCAGGTCTCGTTTTGGTGTGAACGTACCTACTTCTGCATTTTTGGATTGTGGCATTACTGCAACAAAAAGCAGGGTTGTAGGGAAGGGGGTCTATTCCATGTTTTGCTTAGTGATGGGGAGAGATGCTATTCAAGGCACATTTCAATGAATTTAATTTTTATTATTATATTGTTTTATACGGGGGGGGAAGGAAAAAAGACTAATTGCTGGTGGGTTTGTGGAAATGTTATAAAGTGAATTATTATTTACTCAATACCGATGTTAAAAGCCTTTTTTGCAATAGCCATGCATTATTAAGTCAAAAGTTGTAGTTATAAAATTGATGGAAGTAATAATAATTATTGACTTTTTGTGTAATTTCCCACACTTAGAGTAATATGTAATTTTTTGCATGAGGTCCCTGGGTATCTTTTTCTTTTTTCATATTACCTTTTCCTTTGTTTTGTTTTGTTTTTCTTCTTAGCTATAAAAATAATAAACACATTTTAATGCACAGTTACCAGTTTCATATTTTCACACCAATGTGCAAACTGAAACTGGATTATCTTTTGGAATCCCCACTTCTCCAAATTTAGAATTTGTAGTGAAGGTCTCCAAAATGCATGCAAAAATGTTACATTAGAGAAAACTGCACACAAAAACATGCACACTGATAAAAAGAAGGCATTGGATTAAATAGATTCATTGCAAAACCGTGTAAAAGGATGCATAATTTCAGAGGAACGAGCACAGAAATGTGTGTGCATTTTCTTGTGAACTTGAAAAAACAAAATCGCAGGATGAGCCAGACTTGAAGTCTGACTAGTTCTTAAAGTTCTGTACAAACTGAATTTAAAATTGGAAAACAAAAACTGAGAAAAACAAAAATGAAAAGATCTGTCAACCCTCAGACACAATTCCTGCCAAGGGGTTTGAATTCATGGACTCACCCGCTGATTTTCTGTTGTGCAGCAATCAAGTGTCGATGCACTTGCAGAAAGGCACCCTGGCAACCGGGCCCTGTGCCTCCTTGCACATCAGCGCATGCCTCGCTTCGACACAGTGGCTCCACAGGGCTCCAAGTGCTCCTCAAGAAAGGAACTTCTTGAAGACCCAGGTCCCTGCCCAAAATCTGAGATTTTGCCTGTGACAGATCATGGAGTTTCAGATTTGTTTCAAACCCCGAAGGACTGGAACTTTAATTTTCATGGTGATTGAATGTAGTCACAGAGAGAAGAAATACAGGCAGCCCTGATTATGCATCCTGCTTTCACCCCCTCTAAGCAGATAGTTTGTGAAAGCCGCTGCTAACGGTACGCCTTTTCTCTGCTTCTGTTTCCTCCCAGATGAACAGACCGATCCAAGTGAAGCCAGCGGACAGTGAGAGCCGAGGAGGTACTTGCGTTCTTTATTTGTAGCCCTCAGCCCTGTGTGTAATTGTTGTCTGTGGCTTCTCTTGGGCAACGCACAGATCAATTAGTAACACAATCACTGCCAAAGCAAAGCTCCCTCTGCAGCGACGATGCTCTTTATTAAATCTCCTTCACTTCGCCTTGCGCTTGCTCATATTCAATTATTATTTGGTTTTAAAAGGCAGGTAGGTGCCAACGATTGCTCGGGAAACCAATCACGGCCTTGTTAAGAAGGGGTGGGGGATTGCATGCTGACCTCCCAAAGTTTTGCGGTTGTGTCTGCTGCAGTGAGTTCCCGCTGTGTGGACCATGACTCTAAGCCTGAACTGCCAGGGTTTCTCCGGATGAGAAGTCCGGGTGGAAGCCCTCTGCCCCCGTGGCTCCAATGGCCTCCTTCTGTTATCTCTCTGCTCTGGAAGACGACTGAGCTTGCTGCCATGAAGGGGTGCAGAACCTCTCTCAGTCTGAGGACTTCGGAGGAAACCCTTGGGGGCCTCATTCTGGTGGCCAATGGGACCAAAAGCAAAAGTGCCAGTATATTTTTGCATAACTGCTTACTGTCAGTAACTGGGCCTTAAGAGAGGCATTTGTGATGATTCAGGATGGAAGAAAACTGTACGGAAGGGAAAGGGAGCTAGGGAAAGGAGGGTGGCATTCCACGGAAGCACATGGGCATTCTGAGGTTCTGCACCCCTCCCCTAATGAAAGGAAGGCCAACTGAGTGTCCGAAAATCTACGCTTGCTGCTGAACTGGTTTTGGCTTCAGTGCCCTTCGGTCAAGGCGTGCCAAAGAATTGCAGTGTGGTTCCACTCGCAGAGGAAAAGGGGGCAGTTTTGGAACAAGGCTTGCAAATAATTCCTTGTTAACTTTCTGAAGAAAAGGTCATCTTGGGACATGAACAAAGGTGCATGGGAGAGTGGAGCATTTATCACAAGGTGGCACCAATAGTATTGCTGTGTCTGATCACTCATGGGGCACCGACTCGTGGCAAAGTGCATTCTGGCCCCTGAACCATGCGTGGTCTGGAAAGGACAGTCAGAACTTAAGCAGAGTGTCTATGGCGTATCGAGACGAAACGGAAGTAGAATGTCTCTGGTGAGCAGGCAGGCCACTAGAATGGATTTCTATGGTTTGTGGACTTGCTGTATTTGCAATGCTGATTTAGTCCTGGTTGATGCCTTTGGCCCCGGCTGAGGGGGACACTCCCCACCGCCCCTCTGAGGTTGGATGTGCTGACTCTCTTGCCTTGTGGATTGTGTGCTCCTTCTTAATGCTGTGACGGTTCTCTCCTGTCTTCTGATCACAGCCAGAAACTTGAAAACGGGTGTTGATCTGACCTCAAGGTGAAAGGGAATAGCGAGCACCTGGGAGGTGGGGCAGGAAGGGAGCGTGATCTGCGGAAGCCTATGGAATAGTGAGAAAGAGAGAGGGGTGTGGAGAGAGACAGGAGCGAAGAGGGAGGGATGACCTGCTCTCTGTCAAATGGAATGCACCCAAAATAATAATCAGCCAAGGCAATTTGCTGAGTGCTCCTTGAGGGCGTGTTGCCTATGAACTGGCCGGCTTTACTCAGATTGCTAATAAGCGCATGGGCCGTGCACAGCGTTCCAGAAAGAAGCCCCCAGATCCGTGAATCTCCCTGGCATCTCAACTGCCTCAGCATCCGGGAAGGTGCTTGGGAAGGGTGAAAGCACGCGCATCGTTTATCCTTGTCGCACCCTCCCCGGTCGCCACCCTCCTGATATTTTAGCTAATTACCTCCACCCTCACTTGCCCCACTGCTGCCTTGTTTATTGCTTGCTGCCTGCATCTGTTATCACATGAGGCCCAGTTGCCAGGATTGGAATGGAAGCCACGTTTTGTCTTGATTCCCCAAAGAGGAGCTGTTTCAGCTGGCAGAGCTGCTTGGAGGACGCCGTGACTCAAGGGCAGCAATGGAGGCCTGAGCAAGGGGGACTGGTGGTGTGCGTGTGTGCGAGGGGCTCACAACAGCCCTTGGCTCTGAGCACGTGCTGCAGTTCATGTCAGCCGGGCAAACTTAATGATAGCAAAGAGAGCGATTATCATGAGAGAGGCAGTAAACCTTTATCCTCTGCAATGGGCGAGTGGAGCCATGACTTGCTTCAGCACATGGACAGGTGTTTTTTCTTAGCCTGAATCTGACGGCACGTGCCACCCCTCCGACCTCCCTCTTCTTTCTGAATGCAGCTAAATCCAGCAGAGGCTGGTACCTGTTAGCAAACTCGGTGTCTCCACGCGTGACCGAACCTCTGGGGAACTTCCCACGGTGCTAAACTTCTTCGAGAACTAAGTTTCAGGACCAAGGAGAGCACCTTGCTAGCTGACCTGCCACCTGCAGCGACTCGATTCAGCACTGCTTCTTATATCCTCACAGAGGTTCGGGGAAACAAATTTTCCTTGCAACTCTACCTGGTTCTCTTCTGTAATGCAAAGTATTTTGAGAGGCCTAGTCATGAATGAGGAATTACAGCCCCTCACCTTTGCAAAATGCCAGCTCCTGAAGGAGATATAAATTGAGGATATAGATAGATAGATAGATAGATAGATAGATAGATAGATAGATAGATAGAGATGAAAGCCAGGTTGTTAATATGGACCAAAACCACTGCCTAAATTTTTGGGCACTCTCCCCCACCCCTATTTCTTCATTTGACTTTCACAGTGTCCCAATGAAATCGTACACTAGCAAAAATCCACCAAAATTGAAAGACACGAGTAGAAACACAGACAGGAAAACAATACATACCGGGAAAAGCAGGGGAACAAAACAAACAAGCCAACCGCAAACATATAATTAGACAGTCGTGATCAGAGGTACATTTTACTGGTCCTGCAAGTAATACTACCGATGTATAGGTATGCACATATGCTCACAGTATTCAAAGTCCATGTTCCATAGCACCAACAAAGGTTCAGGTAGGTTGACCAAATGTGAGAACAAGTGTTCAGATGATGTGGTCGTTGGTAGCATGCCAGTGTGGTAAGGTCTTCAGTCCACTGGGTGTTTTAGGAGATGATTTCTCTTCCATCTCTGTCGTATGGGTCTCTTAGCCAGCAAGAGGGCTATTATACTCCACTTGTGGTGGCCAGAGGAAAGCAGACTCGGCCCTTCATTGACTTCTCTGAACAAGAACGACGCATTTAGGACAAAGGCGATGTGCATAACAACGTCTGTCCAGAAGGGGGCCACACTGGGCACCCTTTAGGGGAGCAGCTATGAGGCATCCCATGCTGGGTGCAGCACTTCAGAACATAGCACCATACTGCTGCTGTCCTCTGACCCCAGTGTAGATTGACTCTGAATGGCAGTGGCAACAGTTAGACTACTGCCATGTGCTCTGCCTGGTTCTTCCCTTGGAGACCGTTCAGAAGCTACAGCCCAAGCAGAATATGGCAGTCAGATTAATGACAGGTCCCACAGGTCCGAACACTTAAAACCAGTTCTAGACCACTTACACTGGCCACCGGTATGCTTCCAAACCCAGTTTGGGGTGCTGCTATTGACCTGTAAAGCCTTAAGTGGCTTGGAACCACAATACTTGATGGAGCTTCTTCCTTAACTGGACACTGTGGTCAACATCGGGAACCTTCCCCTGAAGGAGGCTTGAGGATGGCATCCAGAGGGAGGGCACTCCAAAGAAACCCTCCCAATGAGCTCCGTGTGGCACCAACCATGTCATCTCATTGGCACCAGGTTATGATAGCCTTTTATGCAGAGACTCTTAAAGATTTACCGGGATATCCAAGGGCTTCATGGGATTCCCCAACCCAGATGTTTGAAAAGTTATTCTTCATTGTGGGTTTTTAGCTGTTCTCATCTTCTGGTTGCTTGTTTGTTTTAAATGTCTGTAGTTTTATACGATTTTATGGCATTTTGTAGTATTTGATTGTATTGTTCTTTGTGAACTGCTGTAAAGCACCCAGAGGGCACCTGATATTGGGTGAGATAGAAAGGAAATTAATTAATTAATTTCATGCTGCTGAATGTTGACCATAGGACAAGCCCCTAAAATTCCCCATCCCTGATCTAGGAGCAATTCCTAGAGCTCAACTGATGCAGGGAGAAACGTAGAGATAATTCTACTGAGATGGAACCTCCATGCACAAAGTCACTGAACAGTAACGCAGTCATTTCAAACACTGTCTTGAATTTGAAAGTGTGGGCAGCTGTGAAGAGCTGGGATGGGGGTCCTTAATCTCTCATGCCCCACTGTGTGGCCAGAAGTCTCCGGCTTGAAGTTCAAGGCATCCAGGACATAATGCCTACTCAGAGATGGCCCAGGCCTTTATACCAGGTCATAACATCCCGTAGAGAACAAGTTGCCGATTTTACAGATAGGTCACTGAAAGCCTTGCTAGACTGCAGCTGAAGATCTACCTAATGCAAGAGTATCTTGCTTGGTGTCTGTAACAAATGGACCACTGAACTCCGCCTGCTCTCACACACACTAATCTCCTCCTTTTATATGCTCACTAGGTTGAGCTATCTAAAATCAACTTTTTAGAAAGCTACAAGACAGTCACTTTCCCCTCCCTGCTTCCCACTTCTTTCTTTCACTCTTAGTTTTGCTTTATAGATTCTAGAGAGACCATTCTGTTGCTATAGTTATGGTGTGTGTGTGTGTGTGTGTGTGTGTGTGTGTGTGTGTACACCTTTAGTGTACATAGCAGTTTACTGAGAAATATAAGCCAGATGACAGTTCTTTGCCCCAAGGAATTTACGAACTAAATTTTGCTGGAGGGAGAAAAGGAATATGCACAAGAAAGATGCACAGATTTCCACTTAAGTTCTAGATGGTTGAGATTGTGTGCGCGAGCGTGTGTGTTTGCGCATGTGTCCAAATTCACAGAGGGATTGCGTCTGATCCTTTTTCTTAATCTGTTTAAATAAAACAACAACTCTGCTCATGTACTTTGCTTTCTTCAAATGTTTCTGCAAAATTAGGAGGGAAATAGATGCCTCTGTTGG